TGCCCCTATGTATTTTGCATTTATGACACATATCTGAAGCATCAGGAAACATCCTCCTAAGGCCAACAGGTGTATAATAAGTTCGGTAAAAGAATTTAAAGTTCTGCTCATGTAAAGAAACTGAGGTAGATTTGGGGAAGACCCCATCACAGATTTCTTCCCAATCTGCCAGATCAAATGTCAGTCCTAGGTCACGCTCCCACACCAGCTTCATAGCATCACAACCTGAGGAGTCAGAGCCAGAAAGTAAACGGTATATCTTAGAGATAAGTCCTTTGGGAGATTTGGTCATGATAAGCATATTCTCTAACTCTGACAATTTTGTATGTAGTTTTCCTGTTCTCCAAAGAGAGCTCACAAAGTGACGGATCTGTAGGTATTTATAGAAATCTCTATTAGATATATTGAAATTAGCTGTAATTTGTTCAAAGGGTTTAACAGAGTCAGAGTCCAACATGTCCATAATATTTGACAGTCCCCAAGATGACCATTCAGACAAGCCAATGCTTCTAATCTCTGCCGGTAAATCTGGGTTCAAAGTTAACGATGACCAGGAAGAGAGGGTGGGAGAGATATTTAGATATTTCCTCACATCTCGCCAGGCCAGCAAAGTATTATAAACAATGAAGCTACTTCTGAGATGAGCCATTTGGTCTATGCCACTTATAAAAAAAAAGAGAGTTAAGTTTGCTGGGGAGACAAGATTGTGACTCCAGATCTAACCATAAAGCGTTCTTTCTATTCATAAACCCATTTGATATGATTTTAAGTTGTGCTGACCAATAATAAAGCTGCAGGGATGGTAACGACAAACCTCCAAGATGTTTTGGCTTAGTTAATATAGAAAACTTGACTCTTGGGTGTTTGTAGTTCCAGACAAAGCAAGATAAATGAGAATTTAGTAATTTGAAGTGAGCAGGGGATAAATAGCAGGGAAGATTTTGATATAAATAGTTCAGTCGCGGAAGAATGTTCATTTTTTATAATATTGATTCTCCCTAAGAAGGAAGTTGGCAGGAGGGCCCATTTCATTAAATCATCTTTTATCTTCTGAATTAGAGGTGAGTAATTAGTTTCAAAAAGATTATTCAGATCAGGTGTAACAAAAATACCCAGATACTTGAAGCCTCTGATAGACATTTGAAAAGGAGATTGCACAAACCTTTCAGAGGGGATGCTGAAAGGGGTTGCGACAGATTTTCCTAAATTGATTTTATATCCTGATAAAGCACTGAATCTAGCCATAGATTCCAGGACAGCTGGAATTGATTTCTCAGGATCACACATATACAAAAGAACGTAATCTGCGAATAATGAAATTATATGGTTTCTACCGCCTATATTGATTCCAGATACATCCGGGTTAGTCCTAATTATCTCAGCCAGGGGTTCAATAAACAAAGTAAACAATAAGGGTGAAAGGGGGCATCCCTGCCTACAACCCCTATGAATCTTGAAGGGCTCAGACATCAAACCATTTGTGTTAACTGAGGCTGTTGGGTCTGAATAAAAGCTTTTAACCAGATTGATAAAATTTGG